GGGGGGGGGAGTTCATTCCATTTTCAGTCCACATCCTTCAGCGTTGCCAAAGCAGTGGAGAAAACGTAGAAGCAAGTGAGTGAAAGCCACACAATCGTACAGGCGTGCACACACACACACACACACAGAGAGAGGGAGAGACGGACAGAAACGCGAAACTGAGGCATCTGAAGCCGATTGAGTCCTGTCCTCCTCTCATTCCATTTTGTTTTTCCCATTTGTGCTTTTTCTCCAGTAAGTCTTCCCTCGTCGCGCGGGCGTACGCACACCGACTGGGCGAACAAGGAACAAAGGTATGTATACAGTGATGGGTGCGTATAAGTGTAGGGGGGAAGACCACTTACACGTGCAGAGCCCTGAACACTGCGCATAACGCAAAATAGCTATGCCCCAAGCCGCTTCAANAGTGTAGGGGGGAAGACCACTTACACGTGCAGAGCCCTGAACACTGCGCATAACGCAAAATAGCTATGCCCCAAGCCGCTTCAAACCTGTTGTCTCGCGAGGCACGGCCCCACGCCGGGTAACGAGAAAAATGAGAACAATGGAGACCATCAGCAGAAATATCGGCAGGGCCGTGCGCAGCCGTATAAATAGAATACAAGAGAGGATACGCTTTAGCGGTAGAAACCCTTCACCGCCGTTCTGCTCCCGCATCATCTGCATGTACCGTCGTGGTGCTGCAAGGAGTGCGGCACCACGTCGCTCTTTTCCGGGCCTTTCGTTCTCCTTCATGCGTCCACCAAAGCCGTCGCCGCTACCGCCCCCGTGTTGTTGCAGAATCACACTTGCCTGGGACACCATCGACCGCTTGAGTTCCTCCAGCCGCTGCTCCGTCGCCTTTAGGAGCTTCGCCTTTGACTCCAGTCTAGATGCTTCCGCCGCAAGTGCCTCCTCGCGCCGCACCATATCAGGCGAGGCATCACCACTGTTATCACCAGCCCTGCCGTCCTTGTGCTGCATAGCAACCACTGTGCGTCCCGCATCCTGCAGCACCTCTTCGTACTTCTGGCGCCACTCCTCCGTCTCCACGCGGCTTTCCTGGAGAGCCGCCTGCAACCCCTGCACAAGGGCGCGGCTGTCTTCGGAGAGCATCAGCGATGTGAAGGCCTCCTCACGCATATGCGCCTCCTCCTCCAGACTGTGCACTACTGCCTCGTGGCGGCTCACTTCACGTTGCAGACGCCCCACTTCCAGTGTAAGCTGCTGCGACTGCTCCATTTGGGACGCCAGCTCCTTGCTGAGCACCGCCACCTTCTCCGCAAGTCGTTGCTCAGACCGCTCCTTCTCCGCTAAGACGCCGGCGATCCGTTGCTGCGCCGTTGCCGCCTCGTGCTGCGCCTGCCGCAGGAGAGTTTGCAGTGTTGCGAGCTGCTCATCGCGTCGGTACAGGTCGTCCATCCACCGCTGCCGTTCAACCTCGAACGTCCGCTGCGCCTCTCGCAACTTGCCGGCGTGCTTCTCTTCCAGGTTGCGCAGCTCCGAGCGTGCCGTTTCTAGCTGCTGCTGATGTGCCGCGTCGCTCACTTTTAGGACCTGCTGGTACGCTGGGCTGCTGCTGGGTCCAGTGGCGTCGCTAACTATCTGCCCGGCGTCGTTTGTCATGAGAGCCGACAACTCCTTGTACTGCTCCCCAAGTCTCTCCAGACGCGCATTCATCACCGCCACTTCGTGGTCGGATTGCTGAATCGTCTTCTCCTTGCGCTCAACGGTGTCACGCAGCTCGCGCACCTCTGCGTCGCGCTGCGCCAGCTCCGCCTCCCACTGCGTGTCCCTCTCCATCTGACAATTTTCGCGTATGCGGGTGGCGGTTTGCTCCACATCCTTCTCGTGCTGCTCCGCCATGCGCCGCTTCTCCTCCCGGAGATTCGTGATCAGCCTTTGGAGTTCTTGTATTTCCTCATCTTTTAATATCGTCCGCTCACGGAACTCCTTGTCAAGCTGCACACGCATTGCCGCCAGTTCCGCCTCGTGACTGACACTAGCCGCTTTGAGCTCATCGCGCAGCTGTTTATTCTTTTTTGCCGCCTCATTCAGCTGGACAGCAACTGACTGCTTCCACGCACTTGTTTTCTCCCGCAGCCTCTTAAGCTCCTCTTCGGCAGAAAGAGCATCGTTGCTGCTAGAGGACGGCGCCTCGCCCTTCTCCTCCATGCTCATCACGCCGTCTTTGCTAGCACCTTACAGAGAGGCATGGGGAGCACAGCAACACCAACAACATAAAACAGAAACGGACAAAAAAAAAGAAAAAGAAAAGAATAGAAAACAAAGTACATGTGGTGTGTTAGAGGGAAACTCGTAATACACAGAGATATAAAAAGATGAAGTAGAATTGAGTTATTACAGCAACGAAGAAACTTCTTTGTGTGGGTATGTGTTCTGCAGCGCAGCACATCCTTTCTCTCCTTCTTTCCCACTCTGATTCACGCGTCTCCCCACCCAACTTTTCGCACTCATTCTCATCAAGGGTAGTCAACTACCTCGTTCACTCTCGCGGTGCCTCATGGGGCCCGATCGTCGTCCTCATCATCGCCATGAGCAGAAGCAGCAGGCAACTCTGCTACTCCTTTCACAGTCTTAAATCAAAACCGCTGAAAGAAGGCCGTTGAGTTTCTGCGTGATCCGGCCGAGACGGCTCACTACTACTGGCTCTGGGGTTTGAAGGGCATCCAACGCGCCTTCGTGGTGGTCCTGTATGAGCTCATTGACCTTCCGCTCGAGTGCATCTATGCGCTGAAGCAGCTGCCTCTCCTTCGCCTCGGCCGACTGAGAGGAGGTCCTGAGCTCGAGATACAGCACGACAACGAGGACAGAGTAGACGAGCAGCTCGATGAGCACCTCCGCCCCGGCGCCCACCAGGCGCTCCTCGTCGAATGGGGCGAAGAAGGCGGTGCGGAACGTCTGCCACGCGCTCTGCATCGGCCGGCGCGAGAAGAAGAGACGACCGCTGCGACCGACACCCGCGTTAGTGGGCTTGGTGGCTTCGTGCAGCAGCGAACGGGAACGCGGCGCCGTGACGAGACCCTCCGTGCCCGCGACAGGCGGCGCCGTGGAAGCGCCGGATGCAGCAGCAGCAGCANTCGTGCAGCAGCGAACGGGAACGCGGCGCCGTGACGAGACCCTCCGTGCCCGCGACAGGCGGCGCCGTGGAAGCGCCGGATGCAGCAGCAGCAGCAGTAGAAGAAACAGCACTAGAACCGCGGTGCCGCCTCTCTTCTGCGGCCCAGTGCGCGACAACGCTTGACACGCCGAGGGAGAGGCGACCGAGGCCGATGCACAGAGAGCGCGTTATTGTAGCCTCGTGCTGCGCGCGTGTGACGGTCATTTTCACGACTGGCTTCGACAGCTGCCGCACGGCGAGGAGAGCGAAGCGAACGGCGGGCAGCGGTGCCATCCCCGCGGCCGCAGCCTGTACGCAACAAGGGGGTTGGTTGGTTAGTTGGTTGGTTGGTTGCTGTGTGTGAGGCAATGTGTATGCGCCACCCTGACTGCGTGCAGGTGTGGGGGAAACAATGCGAGGTGGGCACAAAAGATCAGGGATAGAGAGAGAGAGAGAGAGAGAGAGGCGCAATAAACGCGCTCACAGAGAAAAGAGTAAGGGATGGAGGGTGGTAGCGTGAACGTCGCCGCGGCGCAGTGGCACACACACACACACACACACACACAAATACACAGATGGATGGGCGTGTGCATATACTTGTACGCCTGCGTTGCTTCCGCTGAGTGCGGTGGCGAGGGGCGCGGACGGCGCCAGCAAGAACAGAGAACAACAAGCGACACGCACACACATATTTACAGAGAAAACGAGAGTTGGCGAAAATAAAAAAAAAAAGACACGAGTGAGTCACAACCGCATATGCACATACGCTCCCACAATAGGAAGACGAAGTGATATAAATAAACAGCATCAACAGCAATAGTTGTAGTAGTAGTAGTAACTGAAGCAGATGCAAAATAATGCGGGACCGCCCCCCTCGCTTCTCCCCTATGCCTCGCACATCTACCGCAGGCACCCACACCCACTCGCAGGCAGGGAGAGGCGGAATGCCTGAAGGGGAGCCTCACGGCCCCCACGACAGGGTGGTGCCTGAAGCGCAAAGCGCGAACAAAATACAAACATGGAGGAATAGCGAAAACTGAAAACAAGAAGAAAGTCCAGGCTCACACACTAAGAAGAAAGTATCCTTCTCTATGTGTTACCTCCACTCACATTCCCTCTCCCTTTTCCTTTCTTTTTCTTCCATGTTTGTCCATTCGCCTGGCGTATATATCTTGCTGTTGTTGCTGCCGCTTTTCCCACTTCACACCCCACGCGCTCGCCACGAGAAACGACAATGAGAAACGAAATGCCCATGCAACAGCACACACGCACACCCAGACGCGCACACCAGTACAAAACAAAAAACGTCATTTTGACCCCTACCGTGTCTTCTTCCCGTTTTGCCTTGCTCCCTTACGTAGAGCCGTGGGAGGCGGCGACGACACACCACCGTTGCCGTTACTGCTGCTGTCGCACCCCACAGGAAGAGCACAGACACACACTGTCCTCGTTCCTACACATGTTCTATTTTTTTTTTCTTCGCAGACGAATTCCATTCTCAAAGTTCCTTTCGTCTCTTCGTCGTGATTTCGTCTCCCAAGTGTCGTACATTTCTCATACCGCTCCACTTTCTTTGCTTGTCTGCTTTTTTTTTTTTTCGTTCTCTCTCTCTCTCTCTCTCTCTGTGTGTGTGTATGAGTGTGCGGGTGGGCATGCATGTATCAGCCCGCCCTGCTCCCCGCCGTCCGTCCTCTATTCACGACGTAAGCATCCGTAACAGTATCTCTATTTCTTGCATCTCCTTCCTTAAAGAAAACAAACAAAAAACAAACAAACGGCGGTGGGGCCAGCTGTCGCAAGGGGGCGCTGACGGGCGGAAGATAATAAGGAGCGGTGCCACCTGTTGCTGCTGCTGCTGCCGGTAGTGGTGGCGGCGGTGGTGCTTCTACTAATACCTGAGCGGGCTCTGATACACTTTGTTCCTTCTTGCGTCTCTCTTGGTGTATAAATGTATTTATACGTCTCTGTGTGTGCATGTGTGCTCTCTCTCTCTCTCCTCCCTGCACCCCTCATTCCATCCCCATGAGCGGCATTATTATTTTTACTGCGTCCCCCTCCCCGTAAAACCCATCCACACCTCGCACAGTCTGCCCCCCTTCCCGCCTCTCACTTCCTTTCTTCCTTCATTCCACATATATATATATATATATCTCCCTTTCACACATGCGCACCCACGCAAACGCAGCACTTCCTTCTTTCCTTTCTTTTTTCCTTTTCTCTTGCATCGTCTGTTTTCTTTTTGTTTGGGTTTGGTTTTTATAAGTTTCTTTTTACTTTTTTTCTCGTCTCTGCGCTTCATTTCCTCATTCCCCCCTCCTCGGATGTGCCGCCGGTCACTCCAGCTCCTCCATCGCGGTGCCGTCGTCCTGCCCCTCGGGGTGGGCGTCCTCCGTCCACAGCGCGAGGTTGTCACGCAGCAGCTGCATGATGAGCGCGGCCTCCTTGTGCTGCTCCTCGTCGAGCACGTCGGGGTCGCTGAGCGCCTCCTCGAAGGCTTGGCGTGCGAGCTGGCAGCCGCGATCCGGGCTCTTGAGGATCTCGTAGTAGAAGACGGAGAAGTTCAGCGCGAGCCCAAGACGGATCGGGCTCGTCGGCTTCAGCGAGGAGTTGTACTGCAGCGCCTGCGTATAGGCCTCCAGCGCCTTGTTTTTCTGATCCTCTGTATTCGTCTCGATCTCGGCGTAGTAGCGGTGGTAATCGCCCTTCATCTTAAGGTAGTACACCCGCGTCTCGTCGGTGTCCGCGTTGGGGAGGAGGAACTTCTCGATAAGCTCCAGGATGTCGGAGCAGATGTCGCTCAGCTCCTTCTCGATCTGCTTCTTGAAGCCCTTGATGAGGGTAACGTTCTTCTCCTTCTTGAGGTCCTCCTTCTGCTCGAGCGCGGTGATGCTGCGCCAGCACGCGCGGCGTGCTCCAATGACGTTCTTGTACGCCACAGAGAGGAGGTTGCGCTCCTCCGACGAGAGGGTCGGGCTCAACTTCACCACGCGCTTCATGCAGACGAGGATCTCATCGTAGCGCTCGCACTGCTCGGCGAGCTTCGCCATGACAATGAGCTGTTCGCGTTTCTCGGGAATCTGGAATCCAGCCATGACTTATATTCTTCTTGTTGGCACACGTGCTGATAGATTGTATTCCTTTTTTTTCTTTCTTTCGTTGGTTTAGTTTGCAGGCTTGTTTTTCTCTTGTGAATAGCTTACTGTTATACCCTTTTCTCTGGCTTCTTCCAACCTCCAGCGGCAGGAGGCGGAGGAGGGAAGAGGGGAGGACGGCAGAGGGAGTGCAGCGCCGCCCACAGCGCCCACACAGGCACAGACACACACACACACACACACACACACACACACACAGGCACAGAGTGCCAGCAGCAGCAGAGACACGTACAGTACGACATACACACAGGCACAAAAAAGAAAAGTATTTTATCATCCCTCCTTCGCGCAACGTTCTGCACCCGCACACCTCAACACTTGAGCCTCAGAGGTCCGAAGGCGAGCGCGCGCACACATACACAGACAGAGGTACGAATAAACACTTATGTATGGGGTGAAAGGACACGTGGTCTGAAGGGATCCCACTGAACCTTCCGGTGTCAACAACAACACAAGAAAATAAAACAAAAGAGGGGTACCGAACGAAACACGTCTATGATGGCCGGCATCGGTCTAGCCGATGAAGGGCAGTGCACACGGAGAAAATACATAAAAAATGTTGTGCGTGTAAGAGAGAGAGACGTTTTTTTTGTTGAGTGGTGAGAGAAGAGAGAGAGAGAAACACGGGAGAATGAGTATGTGATCGAGCTCCTTGGCTTTCTAGTAAGTTGCCTCCACTCCCCCTCCTGCACGTCCTCCCCGCGCCTGCTGCTATTCGTTTCGCAGCGATTGCAGGGACGGGAAAGTGAATGAGGGGAAGACGAGGGTGAATATTAGGGAACTCATTTTCTTCTCCTTCCCCCTTGTGCCAAACCCTTCAGTCTTTGACTTGCTGGCTGCTACTGGGTCTCCCGCTCTCTCTCTCTCTCCC